CTGTAGGTACGGGAGGGTGGAGGTGGCCCTGTAGGTACGGGAGGGTGGAGGTGGCCCTGTAGGTACGGGAGGGTGGAGGTGGACCTGTAGGTACGGGAGGGTGGACCTGTAAGTACGGGAGGGTGGAGGTGGCCCTGTAGGTACGGGAGGGTGGAGGTGGACCTGTAGGTACGGGAGGGTTCCGGTGGTCCGTGTTGTAGAAGCAGACGGACATGGGCTCTGGCTTTCTTCCTGCAGGTGGGCGTGCGGTGTGATCATGTTTACCCTGCTGGCCGGCTCCCCTCCATTCTGGCATCGGAGACAGATGTTGATGCTTCGTATGATCATGGACGGACGCTTCCAGTTCACGTCTCCGGAGTGGGATGACCGATCTGCCACGGTGAAGGACCTGGTAATGTCTGTGAGAGGCGGCCCAGCTCTGCTCCGTCTATTGCTTGTGGCTGGGGGAGGGGTGCATCCTATTCAACCATGTCCACTAGACAAGGGTTCCTTTCCATTGTGTGTGGCGTCTCCTCCAGTGTCGTATCGCTAGGCTCCTCCTCCGTGGGTGGGAAGTGTCGTATCGCTAGGCTCCTCCTCCGTGGGTGTATCTCTACGTGCCTCCTCCGTGCTTGGGAAGTGTCGTATCGCTAGGCTCCTCCTCCATGGGTGTGAAGTGTCGTATCGCTAGGCTCCTCCTCCGTGGGTGGGAAGTGTCGTATCCCTAGGTTCCTCCTCCGTGGGTGGGAAGTGTCCTGTCGCTAGGCTCCTCCTCCTCCGTGGGTGGGAAGTGTCGTATCACTAGGCTCCTCCTCCATGGGTGGGAAGTGTCCTGTTGCTAGGTTCCTCCTCCGTGGGTGGGAAGTGTCCTGTCGCTAGGCTCCTCCTCCTCCGTAGGTGGGAAGTGTCCTGTCGCTAGGCTCCTCCTCCGTGGGAAGTGTCCTGTCGCTAGGCTCCTCCTCTGTTTGGGAAGTGTCGTGTTGCTAGGCGCCTCCTCCTCCGTGGGTGGGAAGTGTCCTGTCGCTAGGCTCCTCCTCCGTGGGAAGTGTCCTGTCGCTAGGCTCCTCCTCCTCCGTGGGTGGGAAGTGTCCTGTCGCTAGGCTCCTCCTCCTCCGTGGGTGGGAAGTGTCCTGTCGCTAGGCTCCTCCTCCGTGGGTGGGAAGTGTCCTGTCGCTAGGCTCCTCCTCCTCGCTGGCTGATTGGCCTCTTGAAGGACTCTCTCTGGTTTTGTCTTGTAGATCATTCGTCTCCTCGAGGTGACTCCGGAGAAGCGTCTCACGGCGGAGCAGACGCTCCAGCACCCGTTCTTCCAGAGCCACCAGAGGGAGCGTGGCTCCACTATCACTCCCTATTACCGCTTTCGGGTCAGTTGTTTTTTCTGTTGGTTAGGAATTGGGGGAGGGGTCTGATGACATACAGAATCATTTCATCATCACATTGGGGGTAATGAGGGCTATTGTGATGATGAAATGATTGGCCGTAGGTGGAGCCTCAGGGCTAATCGCAGAAGGGGGAGGAGTTTGGAGAAGGCCGGAGGAGGGAACAATCCAGGACAACACCGCCGAGCTGGAAAGTGATCTGAATGGGAGAAGTTTTCCACACCAGCCATGTTCTCCTAGATCAGGGACGGCCAGACTGCGGCCCTCCAGCTGTGGGGTGAAACTACAAATCCCATGATGCATCTCTCTCCGGGAGTCATGGCTGTGAGAATCGTGCAAAGCCTCATGGGATTCGTAGTTCCACCCCCAGCTGGAGGGCCGCAGTTTGGCCATCGCTGGCTTAGATTGTTCCGGCCTCCTCCTCGCCCCTCTGTGACTCGCCCCGCGTGTTCCTGTTCAGCCAGACATTTGTCTCCTGGACAGGAAGTGCCCAGACATTTTGTCTCCTGGACAGGAAGTGCCCAGACATTTTGTCTCCTGGACAGGAAGTGCCCAGACATTTTGTCTCCTGGACAGGAAGTGCCCAGACATTTTGTCTCCTGGACAGGAAGTAGACGGTTCCGAGTCTTCTAAACGTTTCTTTGGGCTGTGATAACGGGATTGTCTCCCCGCAGAGGGCGGCCTGGGCGGCTCTGGCGTGTGTGAGGATAATGGTGAGATGGCGGCGAGCTCGGCCCGTTACCAGTGAGCTTCTCATCAGGGACCCGTATGGCATAAAGGGCGTCCGAAGACTCATCGATGCCTGCGCCTTCCGGATCTACGGCCACTGGGTGAAAAAGGGCGAGAGACAAAACCGGGCGGCTCTATTCCAGAACCAGCCCAAAGCTCTGCTGCTGACGCTGGGGGAGGATGAGGATCGGGATGGCGAGCTGTAACGGGCAAGAAGCGGTCCAGTCTGCCCCGGATCCAGTCTGCCCCGGATCCAGTCCACGTTGGACTTGTTGGAGTTCCAGCCGTCGTATGACGCACGCAGTCGGTGGGGTGATCGGGGGGGCCACTTATCATGGACCTCTTTGTGTGCCGCTCGGTGTCCTCTCTGCGGGCCGGTGACTCCGGAGGACACGTTCTGGGCACCGCGGTCACAAGAGACACACTAACCGTACAACCTCTTAGTAGAGTTTTGTTTTTTTATTATTTATGTTATAAAATAAAATGTCCGACATGATGGACAACCACAGAAGCTCCGCCTCTTCCCTTTTCTGCCGCAGCCTTGGTGACGTATGGAAACGTGCTGGAAGGAGGGGGAGGGGGGCTGAGATTGTGTGGGGTCATTTCAGGTTTCTTTTGGCAGATCCTTTTCTACCCTCCGTCTTCCCTCCTCCAGGAGATCTGGTCCTGGTCTTGGTCTCCACCCTTCCATCAGGAGATCTGGTCCTGGCCTCCTCTCTTCCCTCTGTCCCTCCTCCAGGAGATCTGGTCCTGGCCTCCTCTCTTCCCTCTGTCCCTCCTCCAGGAGATCTGGTCCTGGCCTCCTCTCTTCCCTTTAAGTTGTCCTGCAGCTCCGCCTTACTCATGTCTCTGACTTCCGGGCTTTGCTGGTCCATGTCTTCCCCCGGAGGACCTGAGGCAGAAGAAGTTTCATTTCCAGAAGATGAATAGTAGACCAGAATGATGAAACATCTCTGCGGGGCGATGCTCACATGTTCTCTTACCTCCCCCCGCCTGCTCCTGTTGCTCCGTCCTCCTCTCGTCCTCCGCTCCGGGAGTGCTCATGTCTTCCTCCGTCATCTCATTCTTCTCCATTGCTGCCAAAACACCGAGATCAGCTCCATTGCTGTGCGCCCATCATGTCCCTCCACTCAAGTCATTGTTATGTCCTGGCTGATTTAGTGCATGTCCCGCCCACTCTGCGTGTCACTCCCCGCCCACACCACACCCACTCCGTGTCACTCCCGCCCACACCCACTCTGCGTGTCACTCCCGCCCACACCACACCCACTCCGTGTCACTCCG